TAGAAACATTGTCTTTGAGTATGTACTTTACATAGGCCTACTTCAAAAACGTGATTTCACAACCACCTCAGCCCCACCATGGCTGGGGCTGAGGTGAGAAAATTTGAGGAAATAGTACCTCTCGAGATGGCCGGAATTGACACTTTTATATAATAAAATTCATCATCATCACATTACCATTATAGTCAAAATGAAACGCCAACAAATTTCTCATGATCTTTTATCAGGGATCTACTTAATATCCAGGACAACTTAGGCCTCATTATAGCTTACTAAGCTTTAACTTTATATAGTACATGGTTGCTGTTTCACGTACACGAACGCTAATTGGTTGGCTTGCCCAGTGCAGAGCACATGGTGTTAGTTTGTCTCAACAGGCCCAGACAACACCACAGCTCTGTTGTTTAGAATAGGCATGAAGGGGAATTCCCAAGTTATACCTTTGTCGTATAGGTAATCTTGCAATATTTTCATGTTCTTTAGTTAAATAAAAGATATAAAGTGATGAATTAATACACTAGACACATGGTTTTATTTGAACACTTTATTATGACATCGTAAAGTGATGAATAAAAGCACTAAACACATGGTTTTATTCGTAGGCCTAGAGGCTAGGTCTAACCTAGCGTTACGTACGTATTAGGTCAAAGGTTACCACAAATTTAACCCAGCCTCTATTTTACAAATCTCCCGATTTACGTACGCCCTCCGGTCCCGTACCGTACGTAAAATTGATTACCCCAAGGAGGGAATAGTCGACTGCCTTGTTCAGCGATACCAACATGTGCCATGGTTTCAGTAGTTCAGCTGTATTTTAGCGAAGTGTTGCTTTTTTGTACGTTCACTTCTTACATGTCATTTTAATTTAGTCATTGATCATCATAATAAAATCGTTAACTTTGTTGTTACTATGGCGTTTATGTTTGCTTTCTGTTGTGTGTTATAACAGTTGTTAAACCTTTTTTTTCAAAGACGTGCACACTCATTCTGTATAAATGAGTATATAGTGGGCCTATCCACTGCAAGACTCTTAATTAAAAATCAACGTAACCATGGGGACGTGTACTTCTACTGTTATTTTCTCAATGAATAGGGCATTTACAGTTAAAAGCCCTTGATTTTTTAGCAAAGTATTTTGTGTTTAATTATGTTTCTAAGGTTGAAAAAGTCTTTGTAAAAAATTGCGCAGTTTAGATGCCGGTCAGAAATTTGAGAGCCGGACAGGGATGACCGACAGCGAGGTGAGAAACCCTGTGATAATTATGAATATTTTATTAACATTTTAACAGAATATTATGTTGGGACGCACCCCATTTATTTTTGGTTGCCCGACGCAGATATTTGTTTGCCCTGGGACGTCGGGCAGGCGATTCTGCGAGCCCTGATTAATTTGTTAGCCTTGACAATTGTTCGTGAATCAGTAAAATCTTTAGACATACCGCTTTAAATGCTTCATAAATGATTACATTCATGATGCACTAGTTAAGTCGCAGGATTTTCTTAGGTGACAGCTACCGTAGCTAGCCCAGCATACTGGCACCAAGATACCTCTGTGTATACGGTAGAGATGGCAACGCCATTTCATCATCTGGAGAGCGCATCTTCCTTCACTTGGCGAAGGATCAACTTATTTTTATATATATATATATATACACGAAACAAACGATGTCAGAACTTAGTTACTTCATATTATTTATATAAAAATATATAGTTACTTCATATTTATATATTTCCACTACAATATTGTTTCGTATGGTTGGCAGAGCCAACCACACTCATCAGGCGGATATGTACAACTGATGTTATTACAAGGAAAACTTAAGCATATCATTAATTGAGAAGCAGATTAGCGTTGATTAAAAGGGTCTATTGTCTAGATGGTATATTGTTTATGGATTAGTAATCAATGGTTTCTTCCTACAAGTGGGTATTAATTCATTTCTGCAGTTGAGAGAACTTAACTCAGGATGACAAATAACTAGAAACTTTTCATGTAGGCATAGATTGCATCGTTTTATAGCATTAGAATACGGTCTAAATTGTTTTATAATTTTCCATTTAATGGTATATTGCGTCTTAGTGTCTTTCAGTGGCCAAATGTATTTACTTAGTTCAGTACTATTTCTGTATTTAGCATTACGGAATGAGTTAGTATGGTTTCTATATCTAGTTTTAAATGTATTTTCCGTAAGACCGATGTAAGTTTCTTCATTCTTGTTGTTGACTCTTGTTACTGTAGCTTGATAAACAATCCCTTCGGTGAGGCATTTTCCGGATAGTGGGCATTCGGTCTTTTGGCGACAGTTAAATGCAGGGTTATTCTTCTGAAGTTCCTTAGACAATATAGATTTGTTGTGTGAATTAATAACACTATTCATGTTCGGCATGCAGCTGTAGCTGAGTTTCAATGTGTTCCTGTTAAATAGCTTTCTATGCTCGTGTTCTTGCGGGAAGCATTCATCCACTATATGTGGAAATTTGTGGCCTATATTGGTAGCGACGTTGGCGCTGTACGGGGGGTTAAACCATATGACATTTCGGCTGCGCAATCGTTTTGACTTTGTGGGTACAGGCTTAAAATTCAATTTGTAGTCGCTTTTGTGGAGGGCCTCTTGATACGTTGGAGCAGCTGTATCAAACGATTCCTTATCAGACGAGATGTTGGATAGTCTTCTATTGATGGCTTCTGGTATGTTACGAATTAACAAAAAAAAAAAAATAAAAAAAATAAAAAAAAATAAAAAAATTAAATAAAAAAAAATTAAAAAAAATTAAAAATAATTTTATATACTCTCTACATACTCTACTTCTATAAAAATTATGTATTAGAAAACTAAATATAATGTTTAGAAAAGCCGTCCTCCACAAGTCAAAAACAGCATATTTTTCTTTCTTTCTTTCTTTCTTTTTTCTTTTTCTTCTTTCTTTCTCCCCAATATTGCTGTCTCTTATACACATCTAGATGTGTATGTTAAGACGTATGTGTACACATTCGTAAGTCCTTAAAATGCTCAAAATTACTCTTTTCATTTAAAATTTCTTTTAAAATGCTCAAAATTACTCTTTGAATAGAGCATGTTTTAGCATATAATACTTTTGAATCAGAACCGTGCGTGCTTCGTGAGGGTCAAAGTACGGCGGATCACCTAACTCGTCCTCAGTGACGAGTTCAAATCTAGTTTACATCTATCTTTCTTCAGAAGATGAGGGTGATGATAGGATAGGCCTAGCCCTAGTTGATTTTGTTGCCGACTGTGACAATAAAGAGAATGAGTTTCAACCAATTCTGTGTGTAGAATAAATACCAGTTACTAAGGAGAGAATGGGCAGGCAGCTTCAAAAAACATGATTTTTCACAGTAAACTAATAAGCGATTTTCAAAGCCAGTTTTCTCAAAATGCACTTTACCAAGTATCCTAAATTTGATTGCCCATAACTTCACCATAAACTGTCAAATCAAAAAAGATTTTTTTTTTTGCATTTTGAAGATAATAATGTCTAGTTTCATAATGTGTACAAAACTCACTTCTGAAAATTTTGACTTATCCCTCCTTTGGCTTGACCTTGCCATATTGCTTGTGTCCTTAGGCAAGGCATTGAATTTAGTTGTGTGAAACATACTGTTGCACAACTAAAAATGCTGGCCAGGAATCTGAGAACATAATATATAATTAATTTTATTAATATTTCAGTGGACATGATGGTACAGTATGTCTATGGAAGTTGTCCAGTAAAGCGCCACATGTGCTTCAACAGACCTTTATATTCAGTAAGAATTCCGACTACAGTCAGTATTCACTGGACGATTACCAAGATCAAGACATTAACAACCTCTGTATCAACTCTAATGGAAGGATCATCGCTGGAACTCTTGATAATATGCTCAACATTTGGTTTGTTTCTGGTAATTAATCTTGTGTTAATAATTTATCTTGTCAGTTAACGCATTATTGTTAGCTTCATCTGTGAAGGAAGGATTTATAAATCTTGGACAATGTTAAAAAAATAAGTCTTTTTAACCTCAGACATGTAAATAGACAATTAAACACAGTATTATATCAACTATTCATTTTCAAAAGGTATGGCATCCAAACCATCAAGTCCAATGTTTTCACTGTTCAGACTTCTTTTTGCTGCTTCAGCTTCGTATTCTGTAGATTCTAACCTCAGGTCAAAAACCTAAATTGTGTAAAGTCAGCTTCTACAGATCCATTTTGTGTATATAGTTAATTGTTATCCCTGTATTATATACCTCAGTCGTGAAAGTGGTTTGGTGCAGTGGAAATGGTTTGTTTTCCCAACCTCGAGGTCAGGTTTTCAACCCTTCACTGTGCATTTTGCTTTTGTCCTTAAGCAATGCACTTTATCTACATTGCTTCAGTCTACCCAGCTGTATCCATGGGTACCAGCAAATTGCTAGGAGTAACCTGCAGTAAAGTAGCATCCTACCCAGGGGCGTATCACTCTCATCTGCTTCACGCTACTTGAAACTGTGGAAGCTCCCGCCCCTATGGGCCCTTTGGCTCTGCAAGGATTTACATTTATATATATATATACTTCATCATGCTTACGGACAATAACCCTATGGAACACATACCACTTCGCAGACTTATTCTATGATTTAGTAATTGATAAATTGTTCTTTGTTGTATTGATTGCAGTGAACCGTGGATATCTTGACATACATTGCAATATAGTAACAGCCGTTACATGGCCGCAGGAAAAAAATCTAATAGAAGGTAGGGTTGGTATGTGTACAGACACACTGCTGGTCGGAAGACTAGATGGTTCAGTTGCCGTCATTGAGGTCATCGACCATTCAACATTCCACCGAACTGAACTTGAGCAATGTTATCGAGATAATGGTTAGTGTTTGTGAGCTACTAAGATTTTTCCAAATGAAAATATTAGAAAATGATATGTATCATCCCTTCATTTACCTTCCAATCCCAGGTTCCTTGGTGTAATTCCTGTATGTAACAGGATATTTTTCTCAAAAACAACTTCACTCCCTAAGCCTCATAATAAGACTTTATTAGAGCATCTTGTGTTTGTCTTGTGAAAGTGATTGCTACTTTAAACATTTTGATTTGGATGACAATTAGCATACTGTACCCTTTGACCATTGTGTCTACAAAATAGAATAATAAATAAAATAAATAAATAAATACTAGTACAAAAAAATATATATATAGTTTATTGTGATGCTATTATTATTTGCCCTTATGTAGTTGCTGTATGCTGTTTAGCGTGGTATGATGAAGACCAGCGTTTTGCTGTTGGTTACAAGGATGGCATGATCCATATGTGCAGTAGAGACTCCTTTGAATGCGATCCCAGTCGACCAATCCCAGGTCATAAGGTAAATCATTTGTGCTTCAGAAGCAAATTGCCTCACTCACTCACACACTACATTCACTGAGAGACGCGCTTGGTGTATATACTACTATTATTAGTAGGCCTAGGGGCCTAGGTCTATTATTATGAAAATAAATGCACTAGCACAATTAATGTGACAAAGTCGCCATGGCATGGCATGACAAGTCAAGGCTAGGCTAGTAGTAGAAATTTCCTACTAACTTTACCGTCAGCTGGATAAGGCTGCGTGCGAACTCACCTGCTGCTGGACTGGAGCAGTGTCCCGGACAGGAGTGCGCTACTGCTACTGGGTAGACACTGACTGTGCTAATCCTAGGCATAGGTGTAGGCCTAATTATAAACAAACAAGTCATCGGACTGATATACGTTTATTAATCCAATTGAATTATTCCTCCATGATTGAATTGACGTTGACTAAACGGTCTCTCTGTAACTGCGTACGTAAACGATCACAAAAACTCACGACTTCACACTTAGACCGTGGCCAGGTTGAGGCTCCAAAATCGGCTTAGTTTACGAATTCTGTGACCCACCAATCCGCGCTACTTTTTTTCTATAATTAAAAAAATGTACATTTTAAAAGAAAACTGAGGCTGAATTACTTCTTATTTTTTGAACACATTGAGGCTGATGTAAAATTTCAAATGTATTTATTTGCATGCAATGTAAATAAATAACATTAATCAGTATTTCTTGCCATGCCTGTTGATTTTTGTTTAACTGCTTGAAGACCTTGGTAATATAGACTGAATTAATGAATAATAATTGATGATTCCAATAAGGTGAAACAAATAAATTTTTAATATACTTCAGTTCAGCCAGTTGCATCCCATCAGCACTTTCATTATCTCTCTGATCACTCACTGGGTATATACATTTAACTACACAACAGTAAACACAAGGTTGAAAGAAGTTTATGACAAAAATCTGAACTTTTATATGAATATTATTGAAACACTGTAGCACATCATATACCTACACAGAACTGCTTTAAACATAGCTGAATATAGAGTTCAATCCAATCCGCTTTTAAACATAAAACTTTTAAAATAAATGTGTTGTTGATAAATGTTCATACAAGGAAAAACCTTAATAATATCTGGTAATATTTATGTCATATCAAATAGATAACAACAGTTCCAATCTGGTAGGACTACAGTACTTTCAATTGATTCATGTTTCTATCCATGGCCTATAATATCTGGCCTGAATTGCCACCAGATCCTTATCCCTTATGTAGTGACAAGGCTTCATCCTGATTTGCAGTGGCAGCCTCAAGTAATTCCACCACTCAATGTTTCACATCTTACTAATTTCTCAATGGTGTTTGCTCTATTTTTTACAAAAAAAATACTTGGGAGAACATGACTTCGACCAGGAAGCACTTCCTTAATTCTTGACTTCAGCTTTCAGGTGATGCAGAATGAGCATTTGCTTTGGCTGTGGTTCATCAACTTCCATTCACTTGATTCTGTGGTCTGTGAAAATTAATTAAACAAACTAATTCAATGAGCTTATCAATGCTACTGTGATGGTTTTAATGATCAAATATGTATTTAAATTGTTCCTTTTTAATCAAAGGTTGTTTTCAAAAAAATAAAAAATAAAAAAAAAATAAGTAGTATAAGTACAATACAATATTAAATGCAGGTGGTGATGTTTAATTGGACATCAAAGTGTTGATAAATATTATTTGCTTAAGTCAGTTTTGATACCTATTAATTAATATATTTTTTGTTATGTTGAGTCTAAGGATTCCTATGTAGATAAAGCATACTGTACTATTAATATAATAATTTTGTTATATTCTTTTCATGAAGACATTAATCAAATTAAGCCTGAATTACTTAGTCTAAGCACAGTCACTGAAGGGCACATCCCCCACCCCAAAAAACTGAATTGATTCAATTTGTGTAGTAATTGTTCTTGGTAGAAAATAGTTGCTATATAATTGTGGATGGCTATTCTTGATTTGTCTTCATGGTCAGTTGTTTATGCTGGGTCGATTCATTGCCAACATTATTGTCTCAATATGCTTATTACAATATAACATCATCGTATTTGATTCACAATACTCTGTGGTTATTTTGCTGTTGATAGTACCCCAGTTTGAGGAAAAGGCAGGGCATCCTGTCTGTGTGTGTAGTGTGATAGAGACGCGCTTAGTGCTTCTCAATTAAGTAAAACATACCATACCATTTTTAACGTTATATGTAACCACACACGTACATTTAAACAGATTTGCTGCAATTTTGACTACTACTACTTGCAACACCATCCTTGAGATCCCCTTCGTTATATATGTATTGTAGGTTATTCATCAGCTTCAACGGAAACTTAATAGGCCTTACAGAGGACTTGTATTTGTTGTTTTCCACAGAGTTCACATCCTTAAATTTCTTTTAAGCTGTTTACGCTTAATGACACAACCATACTCTAGGTTCTTACAACATGTATCACAAAAATATGCCTGAAACCGGCTCAGATTTATCATTTGAAGAACTTCTGGCCAACACCATACTTGCAAGTGGAGTGTGTTGTTTACTGTTTACATTGGACAAACGGCATAGAAGGTAGTTTGTGTTTGGCTGAGGGCCTTGCAGCTAAGCCAAACTTCATTGTTAGTCGTATTCTGATTGACTATAGTTACGTAGCAACTTTTGATATAAATTCTCATTTTTGGTTACAGTTTCCCCAAATTCATGGTTGCCGACAATCAAATTATGTTACAATTTAATAGTATTGACATTTTTGTGCAAAAGCCAGGTAGCCCGGATTGGTGGGACGATTTTTCGATCAGCTGCTCGCCAAAAATTAATTGACAGACTTGTCTTGAATATTAATGAGTAGGTTAGAAAATGCTACCAAGCTACTGAAAAAAGTGATCAGCCTCGTTTTCACCAGATTTTCCTGTCTCATCATATCATGTTTTGTTTCTGTAATTATCGTTACATCTCAACATTTTGAATTTTCCCAGTATTTTTCCCGAACTCAGGAAAGGTTAAACAAGCAATATATGGCCACTTGTCTCATCCCCGCACCCCTTAAAGGTGTAATGGGAAAATGTGCGGCTAACACCTTGAAGCAATGAAATCTAGGCCTAGGTCGACAAAAATTTGCACTCCTGTAGCAATTCTGACTTGGCAATATGGTCGGCAATTGCCGACGTGAAATTCGTGGGCGGTCGGCAATTGCCGATTGGCGACGTGAAATTCGTGGGCTGTAAAAAAAAATCATCAGTTTATTATTATTAGACTAGAAAAAAAATCAAAAAAGAGGCCTAGAAATCAAGTTAGGGGGAGTGGACTGTTAGAAGCAGTCAACACAGCCAGATATCCTAATTAACCCGTCCTGGTCACCCCAAGCCCTGTTGACACTTGATTTTTCACTTTATATGCAAATGGCGTATTTTGACAAATGGCCGCCAAATTTATCTAAAATGTGCATATAATTGGAACTAAATAAGCTACAGATATGATTTTGGTGTCTAAACTAATTAATTTCTATACAGGCAACAAACCAGACATATAAAATCTACTGTCACTCATGCCAGAATGGAACATAATTCAAAAATTGGTGTTTATTTGTTTAAAAATAACCGCAAATTATACTTAAAATGTGCATAAAATAAGAATAAGTATATAAAACCAAAAGTAGTCGTGTTTGGTATCGTTGGAAAGCTCTTCCGATGCTGAATAATGTATTGCAGTATACATATCAGAAACGGTGTAGTGTTTCATATATTTTCCCATGAAGTCCAATTATAACATATCATAATAAAATTTGTGTAACTCGTGAGCTCTCAGGGTGGGGGGAGGGGGTGCGCTCCTACTACTACCTAGCACATTACTACCAAGCCTTAAGTAACGCATGTGCTTTCTGGGCGAAGTCCGAGTCCAAATGGGCCCTGGAGAAGCCATTATTTATACTTACAGTAACACTGATGCTCAGCACTCTCCTACAACAGCTTAACAATACGTAACCTTTTCTATAATTTCCGAAAAAAAAACCAAATAGATCAAAATCCTACAAACACAATATTTGGCAGATTTATTAGAAGGGGTTCTTTCAACTATGCCCCAGGATGCCCCACTATGGAGGTTTGACCAGTTATGTAATGCCTGTGTGCTTTCTGGGGAAACGCTTACTTCCTCCATGTCCAAATGAGTCTCGGAAAGGCGATGGGATCCTACTTACTACCACCGAGCAATCTAATAATACAACGCTTTTGACAAAATATTTTCTTTTAATTTTTTCATAAATGTATGAGCCCCGGACGGCTGCATAACTACCCACCTTAAAATCCGCCTCCGACTTTGAACATGTCCATAAATAAAGAATAAAATACATGGTTATCCATCATAGTAGGCATATTATTAAATATTATACACAGCATGTTGAAATCGATTAAAATAATGTATACATTATAGGCCTACTAATAATTCGGATATTCGGATGATAAATGCCTGCAACATCATCAATATATTATGGCGAAAGTAAATTTTTGTCTGTTTCTGAATTTTAATATTGTTACTAGTAATTGTTATTGTCGTGATGGAATAATAAACAATAACTGGATTTGCGTCAGGAGAAACATGTATAGGTGTAATTTTTTTGCCCTACCTGACATGGAAATGTACCGAATACTCCATACATTTGAAAACAACTGCGACAAAAATCGCAAGTTGTTCTCGGGTGGGACTCAAACCCACGATCTCCAGATCACTAGCCTGGCATCATACCTCTAGTAAGCAGCGGGTCCTGACCTCGGGTAAGCAGCGGGTCCTGACGCAAATCCAGTTATTGTTTATTATTCCATCACGACAACAACAATTACTATCAACACTGCAGTACCCGCTGCTTACTTGGACTCGAATTTAACCCTGGCCATCAGACGCAAGCTCGGTGGTCTAGAGGTATGATGCCAGGCTAGTGATCTGGAGATCGTGGGTTTGAGTCCCACCCGAGAACAACTTGCGATTT